TTTTATAGTGGCGTTTATACTATCAGCTGGGCGATTGCGATTCTAAAATTTCGCCGCGTCTCGTTAGTATCATTTGATACATTGTTTGCGGTAACGAACGCCATTCTTGCCGACCGGGAACAACTTTATTCATACTAATTCCATTTGATTGCTCGTATTCGTTATTTTTATTGGAACATAGCCCACTACTAACTTAGTTACTTACTTGAATGTGTTCCGTATTTAAAAATAAAAAAATGTTATCTTGCTTCTTACAAAATATTATAAATGCGAAGGTTTAGATGGGTGGATATTTGTAAGAGTTTGTAGCCGAAACTGCTGAGGAAGGTTTGGAAGAGTTTTTGTTTAATTTATTTAGTCTTTTTTTAATTTTTCGTGGACGATTTCGCTGGCAAAAGCTAGTAAAATATAGAGTTTTCTTTACTTTTTTCTTAAATACTCTATGTATTTAAGAAAAAATCTATTTGTAATTTATCACGGAAACTAGCAAAATTAATTTTAAATATATTAAATTGATACTAAATGTCTATATCTTAGAAATTAATTGTGAGATCTAGACATTACATACGACCTTATAGCAATACGAACAAGGACGCTTTTTCCTAATCTCTGCGATGTGCATAAAACGCAATTCTAGTGTAGAGTCGTGATCGAGCAGTGAGCGCTTGCCCCGAGCTAATCGCTTCTGTTGCCAGTTATTGTTACTTCCAGATATATGAATACACACAAACAGTCAGATAGAATCATTGGTAAAATATGTGTAGTTACTCTTACTATTATTATAAATCCGAAAGTTTAGATGGATGTTTGTTAGAGATTGTAGCCAAACTGCTGAACGGATCTCGTTGAAATTTGGAATAAAAGAGGTTAGTTTGGATGAACACATAGGCTTACTAGCTTTTGTTTTTTATTCCACGCGAACAGATTCGCGGGCGTAAGCTACGGATATAATAAAATATCTAATTATGGGTCGTTTATGTAGTATGCATGTTTTTATGGGTTATTCGATACACTTTTAATGATGATTAAATTAAAAAAATCTTCAGTTTCATTCATACATAATTTTATTAAATTTAATTTTTCAACATCTGAAATGTTTAATATAGTCAGCCATAAAAGAGTACTTTAAGTATCTCAAAAGAAATATGGAAGAGAAACAATTTAACAGTCGCGTTTAATTATTTAGGTAAAAAAGTAACCCCTTTAATTAGCGGCGGAGGAACATTTTAATCTCGGCCAAGGATTACAAGTACCGAGCAAGGACTTAAATGATTCAGACCTAATAATTCTTCCCAGTGTTATAAATAAGCATAATAAACAACGCTTCCTGCAAACAACTAATATAAAAGATTTAACGAGATTTAACACTGGTACCGTATTTATAATCAGTAACATAATAACATAATAAAAACTAAATAAAGTCCTAAAATATTATTATTAAAATTAGTAAATTGACATGGCGGGAGTCTTTAATTTTTTTATTTAGTTATTGTTCTAACTCTTATCAAAGACAAAGAGTTATCCAATCATAAAAAACTATCATGGTAACTAATAGGATTAAATTTTGCATTATAAAAATTATGTTGTAACCCTATTTTACTTACAAGCATAAAACATTTAAATTGCATTGTTTCTAAACTTATTGCGGATGAAGGGAAATTAATGTTCCGCGGTGGATAAACTTGCAATTATTTTTCCGTAGAAAAAAATCTTAACGGCCTTGTCAAAAGTTTGCGCGAAGCAGGTGCGGCGGAAGAGTTGCGGCGCTCCGGCACTCAACTTTGTCGATGGCGATTGTTTATTTTTATGATGCAACCGCAAGGGCCAACAACGAGATAAGGTCAGTCGAGTTTACAAAAGTAACGATTCTCCGCACACCAATATGTAGAAATATGCAATATATTCAAAACATTAAAAAGATCAATAAATACTTCTCTACTTTTATTATTCCTGTTTTTTTATGTGACTTAACGATCGATTATTTTTCTAAAAATTCTGGCTACAACTACAACATTCTTATCTAAGTTATTGTCAAGTACGACGTATTTAACTTAAATTAGTAGTTAGGTATCATCGTAACAAGAGTTATGCAGCAACGTTTCTTATTTCGTTTACAATTACAAACAATCGCATCATTTCTTATATAAGGTATTAGATTTCGTAAAATAAACATTATGAAATATTTAATAAAGGCAATGGCCACGGGGAAGAGACAGCCACTCGTATTTACATTATTAAATTAATTCTCAAGAGGGGTGGAAAATAATTATTTCTACGTTTTAATTGAGAGCACTGAAATTTCTAGGCCCTTGAGCAGATCATTGTTGGAGTGTTTCTTTAATTGGCTTAACTCATCGTATTATCAGTGTTATATTAATTCTTCGTTAAAACGTTTCGATTTAATTTGATAACTTTGAAAAAAGAAACATTGTATTTTAACAAAAACATTTTATTTTCTCATCAGAATGTTAAGTTATGTTAGCAACTATGTATAGATATAAATGATTTATGAGTCAATGAGAAGTGTTGGTTGGAAAGAGCTGGTAAGTATTAACTAGTCTGGCAGCCCCCCACATCCCGGGGCGTCACGCTCAATTGATCACATTTTAGTTCAATATTAGCAGCTGTCACTTGTCACTTTGCACTCTGTCACTATTTTTGTGATATAGGAACTCTAAAATTAAATGAAAAATGTAATATTATCTTTTGAAGACATTTACTAATCTATGGTAAGATAGTAATTAAAACTTGTCTTTAAAAAAATACTTATGAACTTAAAATCGTTCACAGATTAAGTCCAACTCTTAACCACTAATCTAACGTCGCTATTATATTGTTTAGACAAACATACACTTAAAAATTAATATAGTAGCTCGTTACGAACGTTACAGATTAATAAAAATCAACACAGATAACATAAAAACAAATTAATGTCGGAGTCCGCTCTAGATGTTAGAATGTTAGATCAAAAGAAATGGTCCGAGGCGTTTGCGGTCAATATATTTACTAGTGATTCGTTACGCCCGGGGCGGATACTTGTGCCGATGATAAATTATGCCCTCGGTCATCTTCAACTAAAAATTTAGCTTGAAACTAACGATTTTAAACCATATCATCTAAAGGAAAAGGATCTTATCGCATAACTTGAATATTACAGCATATTTGTGGAGCTTTAATTAAATTTTAAACTTTATACTGTAGTAATTAAATGTTACTTTTCTTTGCATGCCTTTTCGGAGATCTCAAATGACATTGCGGATTGACAAAATGATTATCAATCACAGTTCAACAGTTAATTTGTTTTTGAACATCATTTTAATAATATATCATTCTGATTTTTAATAAGTCCGTGTTTGTATTTTATTGTTTTCAAAGTAATACAATGTAATTGAACGCCTCTTACCTCTACCCAACGTTTGAGGCCGACGGACAACATTAATGCTGTCAATTTTGTTTACAAAATGTCAGAGCTTAATATAATCTTACATTATTGTAAAATTGGAAACACAGCTAGACAAAAACGCAATTAAGATTTGTTGCATGATTTGTTACATGTTATCGTGTTTCAGTTGTAAAATTGACGAAAAACTCAAATCCAAGTTTTCAATTGTCATGATGAGTATGAACACAGGGGAACACTTAAAATATCCAAATGCAATGTTTTTATTACAAATATAACAATAATTTGAATGGGAAGGGAATATGAAGCTAAATTGCACTTATTTACTGGGTCGCGACGATCAATCATGGCGGCCGAGTCATCAGCCAGTTCAAATGTCAAACGAACCTAGGGTGGCAATAAAAAAGAAAAAACTGAGTTGCCATTATTAAAAAAGTGACTGTGACTTTATTTCCATTGTGATTGCCGATTCGGGATTATTAACTGACTTGCATTATTTTTTGTGTTCTAATATTGATAGATTGGTTTTTTCAAGCAGATTGCTATTGAGTTGTATGTAATATCGAATTGAATGAATCTATTTCTTAATATTACTTCTTACACCTTAGTCTGGTAATTGTGGATTTTTATTTAATTAAGAATAAGGTGAACTTTTTGTGATGTTTCTATTTTCATAATTAAAATAATCAATATTTATTATAATATTGTTTGTGTATACACTTAACTTTTATTAATTGTTTACATGTGATTTACGTCCGATGAAGTTTATGGAATTGGATTCGTTCAATAAAATTGGCTCGCTTTAATTTTACGATTTCGTTTGCGTGATCTGGTCCGTTAATAATCTAATTCATTTGTCCATTGGGAAGGGGCTTCACTTTATCGTTATTATTTTGTATTTGATGGCCAGTTTCATTTATTAACTATTAAATATCTCTATGTTTTGACTTTTCTGCGGGTGTAGAATATTAGTATGTAGTTTTCACTTTAAAGGACTTAGTCCAAGTAACGATATAACACAATTATAGGATGGTTTTTATGATGCATTTCTGTTTTTTTTTACTTGTTATAAGTTAGTTAAGATTAGGAAATGTATGAAAATGTGGAATATATGTTAAAAGTGTCCATTAATATTATATGAAAGCATCTAGTTATAAAACAATAAGCTAAATGTGTAATTGTAAAGCACGGCGCTGCGCAAACGCATACACGGCTAGGGATCGCGTGCAAACGCACAGTATTACTGGACTCAGCCCCCATATTTTAACAACTGTCCTAATACATCTTGCAATGTTGTTTTTAACTGTTTCGCCACATTATTGTTTGGTCTTTTTTGAATGTTTATTTTTAATTTTTGTTTTATGCTGCCAGTATTGTTACATTTTGTACCTTTTTGTATACCGATCAAACTAGATTATCAATACAACCATTCACTTTTGTTGTTACAATCTAGAAATGCAGTATAATTAGAAATAAGTGCATGTAAATTTATCTGTGTGAAAAGTATTTTTTTCTTTGGACGTGTTAATAATTGAGTAAACATTTTTTTGACAAATTTAAAATATTCAACGAATTGGATGGATTTTTTTCTTCATTTCAGGTGCCTGTCAATGAAAGCGCCAGACAGGTATGTCGCTAGCTAGGCCGCGCGATCGGTTTCGCTCGAGCGCAATCGGTTTGTTCGGACGCGGGCTCGGCCGGTCGCTCGGGCGCCACGGTGTAGCTTGGAAGACCACACGACACAACCGCCGCTCAGGATTTTTTGCCACAGTATTCTTTTTACGTAAAAATTGCTTATCAATGTGTTTTTACAATTTATTTGCGATTTACATTGGTCTTTCCAAAAGTATGACCTTTTAAAATGCTATTGAAGTTTCCATTCAATCTTCAATGTCGATTATTTTCAATTGTTTTATACTTTTCCCTGCTTATTTCGTTTACTTGCCATCTGTAAGATCCATATTTATTTCGTGTTGTGATTATTTTTTTATATAATTGTAAATTGGTGGGTGAATTTAGATGTCGTTGTTTTGCTTCCAGGTTACACCTAAAATTAGGTACAGATTCGAACAAACAAATAATCACAGATAAATTTACATTATCCCGTATCACAGTAGAATTTTAATAGATGTAAGCATGTGTGTGTATTTTGTGTATAATTTACTGATTGAAATGGTTTATTTTTATCAAACTTTTGTACTACTTGAAAAGTTTTTACGTATTTACATTAAAAATCAATAATACTTTAACGCATGGTGAGATTTCGATCCCGGTGTGAGGCTGTGACAAATTCGTGATGATCATCATTGAAATCGTAAAGGATTTAACGCCTCCGTTAGCACGCTTCCTTTGTTGGTATCATAAAGCCGCCATTAACATGTTTGATAAAACGTTGGCCGAACAAAAAAGATACAGCGAGCTACCGTAGGCGCCCCGCGGAGAGGCCTCATTGACGATAGCTGCCACGCTGTGCTCTGCTGTGGTGAACAAAGGAAACACAAAGACTGCTGAGTGTTCCGCTCTCCTATTTTGGCTGATCATTGCGATCTTAGTGGCCTTGTTAACACCGCATACGAGCTCTTGTATTATTTATTTTTTACTTCAGTAAAATGCAACGAATATATTTGATTGATTAAAAATACATGATTTGTTCTTTGGAAAAGGTTCTCTTGAAATATTAAGGACAGAAATATATAAAAAAATATATTATCTTCGTCTAAATACTAGTTCCTAAGATAGTAAAGAATAGCACAAATATCCATGAAAATAAATGAAGACTAACACAGTAAGGTATTAAAATCCATTTAAATATAAAACAAATTTTAATAATTCCGGTTCTAATATTAATTTGACAGATGGTATAATCTCCATAGCTGTCGTCATTAGACCAAGGATTCATATTGTTATCTAATGGCTTTAAAATCAAAGCCTACCTATCTCAAAGCTTTTATTTAAATCCAAATGCTTTTAAAAGAATTACGATAATCAATAGTAGTTAGTGGACAAAAGCTTCTTATAGTTTCTTGTAAATATTACTTCTTTAAAGTCGACTTTAAATATCTGTAATTGAATAAGGATGCCATGAATTAAAAGTTAAAAAATAAAATTTACAATTTTTGTTATTTATGTCGTATCTATTTTAACGTAGCTCTGTGACAGAATTTCCTCCAAACAAATAGAAATCAGAACAAGCGATCTGTTTACACGAGACGCCTTTTGTTCAAGGGTTGAATTCAAATAAACACTAAATCGGTAACCCTTTGACCGTCCGTGGGCAATTTTCACTTCGCAAAACGGAATGGAAATGATTTGGAAAAGGGCTGCAACGCTTTGACGCCCTTGTCTTTCTCACCTATGTTATTCTGAAAGCAATGACAATTTATTTTATTTTAGCTTTGTATTTTTCATATACTGTACTTTAAAAAACCCTAATGTTAATCATAATTAGTGAAACATGTTTATTTACCATAGACAATGGTAGTTTTTATTTTTTTTCCACTATTAAAAGAAATGTTTTTTAAAATCGTGATAAACAATATCAAGTCAAATGTTTGAAAGTATAGAAAGGGCATAATTTTATCTATAAATTTATTACTTATCTTTCGGAATGTTATGATTTGTTGGCATACGTGAGTCATGCGACATTATATCGTGCGTTTTAAAAATTGCCGCCCTTCCGTTCATACGGCGCGACGTGGTCGTGGTGCAACTCGGCGCGGCATGTTCGGCGTGAAATCGCGGGAGGTGTCCACCTGTGCCGTTTATTTCAGCGACTCCATCCCTTTGTATGTAAATTACGCTTTCATCTGTAAACACGCCTTTTGTGAAAATCAATGGGCCAGCGCAATTACACGCGCACTTCGTTATGCGTCAACCGAACGGCCATTATGTCCTCGATGAATTTATGTATTACTATTAAATTTCTGAATGTCATATTGTTTAAGCTTAAAAATTATAATTAAATGTATTATTTTTTATGAAATCCATTATTAGTTTACGAGGTAAAGGATTTAACATATTGGATTGCCCTATAAAACCTTCAAGAAGTCTTCGACATTTGTCGTTAGATTTCAGAATACTAAAATAACTGCATCAAAGTTACATTAAGTTCTTTTTGCACCTGTCTTAGTAAGTTTTATGCTTTAAGTTCTGTAGCAGTATATACTATCTTGGGTTAAGATGCGTGGTTAATAAGACCCTACGCCAATTATGTGATGAGTGTCCGGTGCGTTGGTCCTCACACGCCGCACTCACCCACTTGCGCGCGGAGGCGTGATGACAACCCGAACGTAAACTTTCCCTCTCGTCCACGATGCCCCAACTCGGGCAATGCGAGGCGACCCTGCTGACACATTCCCTTTCGCCCCCCGTGACCCACGGCGACCACTCACTACATCACCTGACTGCTGAAACATTTGACCTAGTTAAGAACTGCGTACTAAACTTTAGACGTGTTACTGTCAACATGTCTTAATTTTAGTATATAATTTCATAGGAACATTAAAATACCAACATAATTGAAAAACAAAAAAACAGTGCTATAAAAGTCCCGTGAATTTTCGAGGTTGCAAATCTGTTTTACTAAATAATCTGTTATATTATATAGCAAATGTCTTGTTACCTTTCACCTCCAAGAGCTAAAAGCTGCGCCAGATCATGAATTTTATTAAAACAAACTATATCGGAATAAATTATATTGCAAATTGCAAATAAAAGAAAATTCACATTGATGTCTGCCATGAATATCTGAGAAGATCTAAGATAAATGAATCTATAAAATTAATTGGACAAGTAATCGAAAACTCACAAAGAATTTCTTCATTTCTTGTCCCGGGGAGCGGATACAAATGAGGGGCGGACATTGAATAATTTGATTTCCTTATTTGCAACAATCAATATCGAATAAAATATATTTACGAGAATAAAACACGATACGTTTGATAAATGACACTTGATCCGTATTTCAATTATTGTTTTAAATGACTTTGAAGTTTGGAGATATGGAATTAAATTAACTGTGTTCATACCAAATATTTGCGGGGTGGGGTAAATCGCGATAGGCGTTTTATTTGAAGTGGTTGGTAGAATCATCTCTAAAGTAAATTTGGCAATCACAACTGTTTCATTAACTTTATAATTATTAATTGATATAATTAATTCGTAACACAGAAAAAGCAAAAACTTCAATACAACAAAATTATGTCAAAGTAAGTTTATAAGACATTGGAGACTCTTTAAAACAATTACGTAAAGCATTTGTCATGATTAAATCGGTTTTTGTTTTCTTAAGAGGAGTTAAATTAGTAAACAAACTCAGGTGCAACAGCAATTAACTAACTTCCAAATGATCCCCTCAAAACAGTTAAAGGGTAGCGTGGCTGGGAGCTGCGGGCAGCGGGAGGCCGCGGGGAGAGGGATCGCAGACGGCATATTAGTACAATATAATTGCATTTAGTACCGAGCTGGGTGACGTTTCCTGCGGAGTATCTACTGCTGACTCTTGGAGACAATCGAGTTACGAACACAAACCACCCTCTGGAATAAGTTGCCGCTGATGAGAATATTTCACTTCTTGATTAACTTTCCGAAGCATTTACCCAACTCTCGTCAGATCTTTCGAGAGACGGACGAGTGGAATGATGCCGTTCAGTTTATTTATATCCATCGCGTTTTCGACTTTTGTATCAAGTTAATTAAGAAAGATTCCCCGCTAAAAATAAGCTCGTATTAGATTTTGCTTGTAATTCGTTCTGGTACTTATTTAATTCCGGATATAAAATTTCTGTGATTGAACCCCAGCGGGTGGGGTGAGGGGCGTGAATTCCAACAAAATTAGCACCAGGGGTCGAAATAAAAAAGCGAAGGAAAAATTTAATGAACAGGAAAATGCTCCTTTTTGCAGCTATTCCATCTATTTATCTACATCGGGATGCCCATTACCTTGCTAAGAGAAAAGTTTACATTTTTAATTTAATGATTCCACTTTGTGGAAGTTGGGCGGGTTTCGGCGAGATCTTAATTTGGGGATTTCGAGGCGTCTCGTTTTGTAAATATTATTCCTTTAATAAGACCTCACGTCGAGGGGGTCCGTCGAAGTCCGTGATTACGACTCTCTTTGCGAGCTTCATTTTAGACCTCGTCATTTTGATTGGCGCTAATGAAATTTTTCCTACTCCGCGTCCGCGCCGTATTCTTGTTCTTGACAGTATAATTTTCCGGGACATGAAACGACTCGTGTCGCGACATCAACACACCCTCTAAACAGTTATTGCCGGCAGTCGACGCCAGCTGAGCCGGTGTCGTTGCCGTCTTCATTTAAATTTTTCACTTTTGCTAATGCAATTTCTTATTTTATCTCTTGTGAAGTGGAGTGCGTGTCCCATCTGTAGCGAAATTTCTAAATCGTTAAGTCCCAGCTGTGTTTGTAGAGGCGATGACGTTTCGCTTTTAGCGGCCGTTTTAAAATTGAATATTTGATGGCGCACTCCCTTATGACGAATCCGCAGCGGGTGCGAACGGCCTATTCTGTGGTAGATAATTTTTTCAACGACTTTAACGACATGGCTTGTTATTCTTATATTCCATTACGTTTTCTGAACCAATTTGTTTATCGTTTGGTGTATTACG